TTAGTCATTTTTCTATGAGTTTAACAACTTTTTCCTACCCAAATAATGGTTTAATAACACTTTTCTATCTACAGACTTTTAAAATATCATTTTATTATCTAAATTTATATTTAGATGATAAACAAAGAATAAACTCGATCCAGACTATTGAGACTTTTAAAGAGATGAGACCGATGAGTCTTTTGATGGTAGAATGTTAAATTTTAGTAGTTACGATTTATTAGAATTTGATTTGGGAGAGGCGGTTGTGTAAACCCTAATTGTTTGATTGGCGATGATTGATGGGTACGACGAGAATAGGGTTTAAGAGGTTTTAATGAGTGATGAACGAGAAAGACAATAATGGTAATGTAGAGTCGCAACGAAGTCATAATAAAAAATAAAATATTAATTTGGGTAATAAAATGATATTTTAAAACTCTATGAGTGAAAAAATATCATTAAACTATTATTTGAGTGGGAAAAAGCCGTTTACTCTTTTTTATGGACAGAAGAGTTGGATCTGCCAGAATCCCTTTATGGTCTTCATCAATTTTGTGGCACACTTAAAAATAAGTAATCCATCCGTATATATATAAGCCAAAATTTATTTAATATTTTAAGTTTTTGGGTCAAGTTGTTTCTTAACGTAGGTGGAATCTCATGTGTGCGGCGTCTTGTTCTCTTATCTTGGTTGTATAATTGTTTAGCTCTGTGAGCTATGGTCCCAGAGTTTATTTGTATTCACTAAGGTTCCTCAGGTTTTTCCCTTCTTCCTGGCTTTTCGGGAAGTTTAATTATTATATTTGCCATGCGCTGCCTCTTACAATATATCAGTTAGAAAATCATTTTCATTTCTTTTTCAAAGTCACGTTTCTTTGTTATTATATGATATATGCATCTGTCGTATCCATTCTGCCGATTAATCAAATCATTGAACTGGTCATTAAAACATTATGGGGATAAAAAAGATAATACATTGTTAGTTTCATCTACCTAAACCTAAATTTCATTCATCATCGTATAACACCATTGTTACAGATTAAAACCAAAATTTTAAAAATGAAATCCGCCCCATTAGGGTCAAACGAGATTCTCTCTCAGCTGCTCCAGCTCATTAAATCGTTGACAAATTATATATATACATATAAAATTCATTATATAGCTAACTCCTTCCCTCAATACCACCTTCCTGTTATAAAGTTAGCAACAATTAATTTATATATATTTGTGTATTAATTTGCGTAGATAAGAGAGAAAAGGAAAGGGTGAGAACTTGGATTTTGGCAAGAACGCTTAGAGCAGTTCAACAAGGCAAAAAGAACCAGCTGTTCAACTTTGCTTGTTGACTTATTCTCGATTATATATGAAGAATCTAAGGCGAAGAAGAAGCGATGAATGTTGATTAGAAAGAAAGATTTACAGAGACTTCTGTCGGAGGAGAGATGGTGCTTGCATGCCTCGCTATCTGCATCCATCACACCTACATGTAAGCATTATCTCTCCTCGACTGAAGCCTCTCCATTTCTTCCATTTCTGACAATATCTCATTACAAACCCACCTTCCTAATCTACTTCATGAGAGATTAACAGGGTAAGCATCTTCTTAACTTGTTCTTGAGTTCATCTGTTATTATTTCTTTTACCATATTCGATTGAGCTTTATATCAAAGCAGTATCATCGATCTCTCAATCCCAGTACATTTCTTTACCTTTCATGATTCCTTTATTCAGATTCGATAGTCGTGCTTCTGTCGTCCTATAAAACAACAACAAAGTTAAGCTGGATATGCTATTTTATTAATTGCATGGTTCTTTTATTAATTACTAATATGACATTACTGAATGATTTTCATAATCTTTATATAATTTATTAAATTTTAAAGTTCAACTTTAAATTTTTTAATCCAACCATGATATCACATCAATATGTTTTTAATTATGATTGGTTTGTCCTTAGCTCATGGAACTTGTGTTTTATATATATATATATATATATATATATAGGCATCAAATAGGGAGATATGGGTGCAAATCCAATTCGTGTATTCATTTCCAGATTAGATTGAGAGGCCGCGGAGCTGAAGATGGCCCCAATATAGGCACCTAAATGGGCCTACGGAGCCGGTGATCTGTTTGGCCGAAGATCCTCCCTCACTTTACCAAGCGTGCAGGCAATTTCTCCTTCCTATATATATAGACGTGTATGACACTATGTCACTATCGGGGTTCTTTTGATGAATCGTAAAACTATAGGACTTTCTGTTGTCGAGTAAAACTACAGGGGGTTTCCATAAGCGTAACCAGAGTCTAGAGGCCAGGGGGGGTTTTTTGAACGAGCGTAAAACTACAGGGATTCGTTAAGATTAAGATTTTTGACTGCTTTTCAAGCTCGGAAGGAGATGACTCAGTCAGCCTTCAACTTCAATCTCTTGCTAAAACTTTCTTTTTCAAACTGATACTGCTTTTTAGTCAAAAGAATTCATGTCTGATTGCATTAATTGGCACCATCCAATTAACGTGCTGATTGAGGATTAAATCACCAATAATACAAGTAAATAATAAAATTTATGAATCCATATATATATATATATTGTTAATTACCCTCATTACTTGCATATAGATCATATAGTTTGTACGGAGTCAGTCTTTTTGTCAGTCTCCACTATTATTATGTTCTCAATGACCACAAAGAGAGGATAGTTTTATATGATTATTCTGTAAAAGCAGTCTATAATCAATCAATTAGAAAACGTGTGTATTTATGTTAACATAATTCATTTGTATGATTGTATATGCAACGGATGCAAGAGTACTGTCTCTCTTCGACAAGAGTCCTCCTCAAACCTTCTGATTAATCCTTTAATGGAAACAATCTGTTAAATCTCTTGTTTTTGAACTAAATTATTCTCCATGCAAGCTATTCCTCAAGGTATGACGACCCAGCTTTTGCTTGCTTCAAGAACACAAGGTTTGTACAATTGATTTTGTGTGTGTTTTTGTCATTTTATGATCTTATTTTGAGTCTTGCACTATCTTTTCTTTTCTGTCAATGTAGGTACACTCTCTAAAAATGACCATCTTCACAAGTGTGAGCAGTACTTTAGAGTGTATATCATCTGACAGATATTTTTCCTCAATCACACATCACACACCTGTTTTTCTTTTTGGACAATATTATTCTTTGTTGATATTCTGTTTTATGCCGTTCCACTTGTCCACTTTCTATTCGTTGCGTAAGAAAAAGAATATTACTTTTGTTCGTGGTCCCAAATTTCTTGTGCAAAAAGAAAAACGCAAAAGTTTTACTTTTAACTTTTTTGTCTCCCAACCCTAGTCACTTTGTTCTCTCTATATTCATACTTTTCTGGTGTCATCCTTAAGAAACCTAATTGACTCTAATTCATCATTGAATATCTTATAAGATTTTTGTTTTCATTTATGGTTTCTCATATGTTTTGGTAGGCTTAAAATTATCTTCTCTTACATTGTCTTTGTTGTAACGATCCTGGAACATGGTTCCATGTTGATGCTTGGATGTGTGCAAGCTGCTATTCCAAAGATTGGTCTTCGTTGTTGAAACTTGTGAGGAGTTCAAGCGCGACCTGGTGGTCTCGTGTGTGAAGGTTGCCATGGTGGCTTGAAGTTCAAGCGAAAAAGAGAAGATTGATGTGTTGAAAACATGGAGTGTTTTGCAACTATACTTTTCTTGCATTGTATTTGAACTCATACGTTTATATAGTGAATTTGCTTCTTCTGGACTTGGTCTTATGGATGTAGACATGTTACCGAACCATGTAAAAATGAGTGTGTTCTTTTCTTAATTTGATGGATGTTTCTTTTATGCTTTAAACAAATCTTGTACACAATATGAACAAGCAACCCATTCCGCATAAGTTTTAATCACTTGGTAATCCTTTAAAACTTTCAAATTCTTCATATTCTTACACATATGAGGTTATACATATGTTAATTGAACTAGTTGTGTTTGTGGTTTCTTAATTTAAAGCTGGCAATCAATCAAAAGAGCTAGTTTCAGAATATGAAATGTCTAATGTTTTTTTACTTGATAAACTAATTGGATTGTTACGAGTAGAACGAACGGTATGCGTTTCAGAAGCAGGGATTTGTTATCAAGATACATTGTAGTGAACGACGAGAACATCTCTAAATACTCAAAGTTTTATATCTGAAGCAAGCTTTCAAGAAAAATAACTCTCCGTGATGGGTTGGTTTAAAGGTTTGAATGAGAACATTCATTGTCTGGGGATGATTCCCTTCGATACTGGATTCAAAGGATTAGCAGTGAGTTTATTATTGTATATCATGTTGTCCGTTTGTTAATAAACCATTTATTTATGTATTAGTGACTCTTTTGACCGTAATTGGTGTTGTTGAATGGGGCTGTATTGTGAGAAATAAATAACATTGTCCGGTTTAAAATATATAAAATCCAAATTGGGTTACGAATAAAAAGATATGTGGTGTCATGAACAAGGCCCAAAATCCTAAAACTTAGTGCTACACAAATACCCAACATCACCTCAATCCAACGTAGTTTCATTACTGTAACGATCCAATGGTCGAATTTAATTTTTTTTATTTTGATAATCAAAGTGCTTAATCAAGTTTGCTTATACCTCAACTAATCTCGAGATCTATTAAACACTCTACAAACTTAAAAAATCAGATAAATCATAGTGTTATTGTGATAAATAACCTCAAGGTTTAAACTCAAACACTCAAGAAATGAAATAAACATTTTTAACCATCACGTCAATCCCTTCAAGTTATAATTTAATTTCACTACCGAGATTCTATTACGTTTGAGATAACAAAAAACGTTACCTCTCAATTGAACCATTAAATCTACTTAAACGACTCTCGACTTCGGACTCGGTGGTCCAACAATGGCCTAAAATCATAACCATAAACCAATACCAAGTCATCACAATAAACCTAGACGTTTCTTTTGCCTGATATGGAAATGGTATCAACGATCAGATCAACCATACAGTTAATAACCGAGCAAGTAGAAGCAACTCATTAATACACAAGGCAAATAACAAAATTTTCTAAGAATTTTCGTTTGTTATATGACCTTTTCCGTGAATTTTCTTTTTCTAACACTATTTCAGTCAAATGCTCTTCCATTACATCAAAGTCCTGAACAAGCTTGGTGTTGGATCAAGGCAAATGCGTGTACTAAATGAAAAGGGCAAAGAAATTGGGATACTAAGACAGATAAGCTCGGTCACTTACACCGGAATATTACAGGTGTACTCCTGGGTCTGTAGCTGAAATCTTTCCGGCAAATCCATCTCTTTCGTGTGACTGTATAAACCAACCAGAGAATCCACCCCTATAAACCAGAGATCGTGTATACTTTCTGCATGCTTAATTTCTATCTCCCCTACTAGTAGGTAAACTGATTACTTGGTCATATCCGTCTTCTGATATAGACTAACCCAAAATATATGGGAAGCACCTGCTAAAGTTGACTTAGGTTCTTGTTACTTGCACTGTCTTGGCCGGAATTTCTCACTTGATAACAGAGAGCTTATCAAATTTTCAAGCCGTTTTGCTCCAGGGCCAGGCCTGAGGCTAGTGACATTACCAATAAGAGAACACGGATCTGTTCCGTTTGCCCCTGTTCCTATGCACCAACCACCAGGAGTAGCCATTCCTGGACCTCGGGACAAGAGCTCAGAATCAATTTTGTCAAGCACAGGATTGTCGCGAGGGAACTTCCTCGCAAATGGGGCATTGCTGTCAACCATCCTTTTCATGTCAGCAACGTTAAGGTAGTGAGGATGCTGCTTAGGAGGGTTGTCCCATGATATGAAATGGAGGTCAGTATTGACAGTGGTGTTACGAAACTCTTGAGCATTACAAATGACAGTGTGGAAGTAACCTTCTGGAGATGATAAGAAATTTGAATAGTACATAAGGACAGTCCGTGGTAGGTTGTCCCATCCCCAGATGCAGTAATCAATAAAAGGCCGAGAAAGTGCCATCCAAGCAGAACCTATGACAGAAAAATGTATACGTTTGGTTTCAGCAACCCACCCACAAAAAGTAATATGATTTGCAACTGGGACCTAGTAAGAACCTCAAGTGTCAAGCACCATTCAAGTATATGAGCTTTGTTCAAACCCGACTTAAGGAAGACAAGCTACTAAACATAACCTAGTAGAGGCTAATAGAAACAAAGTATCAAACTAGTAAAGGGACAGGAACTACAATTCTGAAATTAACAAATGAAATTTACCAATGACTGATGAAATATGAAATATCACATGATAGTTGAGAATAACATACACTATTGTGAAGCAATTAGAGAACAAATGGTCAAATCATCTCACAAAGTAAATGCAACTTGAGCAAAGATATGATCTTAGAAAATATTGTGATCCCTATGAACAAGCAAAGCTATAGAAAATCAATGCTATGCACCTATCCTAAAGGGCAAGTTACATCATAGCATCACATAATAATTCATTCAACATGCTTCTTCCAAATAACTTCACGTAAAAAGACAGTCAAAATAGGTGATGAGTTCCCCAAACTTGTCGCCCAACTAAATTATTACTCACTTTCCCTTCCATTCTGTTCTAATATATAATTTGTGCAAAAACAGTAATCATCTCTAAGAAGGTATTTATATATGTTTCAAGCGCATAAGGGGTAGCAAAATGTTACACAAAAGTGCATGATTCAGCTGAATGCAGGTAACATGTATAATGACCTTGATGCTGTGGGTTCTAACCTTGAAGAATCAGATCAACTAATTTTAACATGACAACAACTAAAAAGTGGGTCATTTACCATTACTAGGATTACAAGGCCGAGTATTAGAAAGAATGTCGAAGTCATAAAGGACAAGAATTCCCTACTAAATTTTACCTTGTTCAAATTATTTGAGAAAAGTTATATATTGTTTCCTTAATTCTGCAACTGTTGGTAAAGAAGAAAAAATAAGACTCATCCCAGCCAGCATAACACCTGTATTTTGACAAAAAACCTGCCAACCCTCCAGTTATAATTTTCATTCCAACTAATGCTAAATTCACAACATGAATCTACCTATTCAGATAACATGGAAAACTTGTATGATTTTAAGCAGCTCTTCAACATATCTGTCCCCTGTTTTAGATCAAAATTTGGATTTAGTTCTCTGAACTGTCTCAACTTTTCTAAGAATTCCCATTTCAATTGAGATCCCAAACAAAAATCATATTTTACCAAACTCATGCAAAATTGATGCATCCACACTATATTATGAGAAAGATATCCATATATTATGATTCAGTCAATGGACCCTGACACTGTTAGAACCTTCATAATTATCAATGGCAGTAAACTAAAAAACGCCTGCACAACTCAGCAGCTCTCAACCATTTATCTTGCATAAGTTCCCAGTTTTCTTGACAACTTTTTCAAAATCTCATCTTCACATTGACAAACAAGTTCACAAGTGAAAATTTAAAACGAAACAAATTTCAAACAATGTACAAAATAAATAGATAATAAGTCATAGTAAGAGACATAAACAAGAGTATTTATGCATAAACAAAAACCACTTAAAAAAGCTAAAATTTGCACCTGTAAAGAGTTTGAATGCAGATGGTACACTCCTCTTCTGTGTAACCCAAAATACATCAGCTTTCTTTGTCATATACAACCCTGGATCTACAATTATCGGTTTCGCCCTCTGGAACCTACCACACGCACAATCAGACTACACAAGTGAGGTCCAAAATTAAAATCAAAACCAACAAAAACACAAAACAAAGTGAATCAAAACTCACTCTTTCCACCCAATATTACTAGTATGATCAATGAAATTCAGATCCCTCGGCAAATAGGAAAACGTATGCAGGAGATCTAACAAGCACAAACCCACGGAAACAAACCAAAATTAATCAAAAACAGATCGAAACTCAGATTAAAAAACCACAATTTAACAACAAAAAACACCTCACTTCACTAATCACAGTTAGATCAATCCCACCGAACTTAATCAAAACTAAACCAAACCCAGATTCACAAACATCATTAATCTCAAAAAAAGAAAAACAAAATTCACTAACCATCTTGAGTCACAAGTGGATAATCAGACGCACTAAGATTAATAAACCAATCCCATTCTCCACCTTCCCTCAACAAAATAGCAGCCCCATGTAACGTATTGGCTACCATTGTCGGGCCTCTATAAGTCACGAGATTGGCCTTAGCAATCACCTTAACATTCCCAAATTGCACAAATAAAGGGTGCTCATTGACAAAGTTCTTTAGATCTAAACGCTCGGCATCAGACGACGCCCTATCCAAATGAAGAACATAAACATTATTTGGATGATACAGCGCCAAAAGAGTGCGTTTTATCATGTTACCGTCGCCCACAGATCCAGAGATCATGTAAGCGAAACGCGGAGGCGGAGGGAGGTTTAAAATGGGAATAGTCTGAAGTTTAGATTCAACAAAAACTGAAGACCCAGAAAACGAAATTGAACGATAAAAAGGCAGAAACGGAGTGCCGTCTGGTGAAGTTAAAGTGGTGAGAAAGAGGAGGAACAAAGAGACTATTGAGCCGATTGCCAGAGGGAAAATCCATTTTCTTTCGACTGTCGTTTGGTGAGTATTGTTGTGTCGTATTTGCATGTAATAAGTCTTTAGTTTCTTCATTTTGTTTCAGCTCAGAGTCAGCTTGAAATGGTTCGTTTTGAGGGGTTTTTGTAGGTGAAGAAGAAGAAGAAGAAGAAGGGAGAAGACAAAGAGACTCACGCCGTGAATGACTCGGAAAATCATATGAACACTTGGAAAACAATTTTGTTTTTCTGAGGGGGGGTATTTGCAAGAAAATGAAACTTTCTGTTTTTTTGAGAATGTTGAAAATNAATTTTCATTCCAACTAATGCTAAATTCACAACATGAATCTACCAATTCAGATAACATGGAAAACTTGTATGATTTTAAGCAGCTCTTCAACATATCTGTCCCCTGTTTTAGATCAAAATTTGGATTTAGTTCTCTGAACTGTCTCAACTTTTCTAAGAATTCCCATTTCAATTGAGATCCCAAATAAAAATCATATTTTACCAAACTCATGCAAAATTGATGCATCCACACTATATTATGAGAAAGATATCCATATATTATGATTCAGTCAATGGACCCTGACACTGTTAGAACCTTCATAATTATCAATGGCAGTAAACTAAAAAACGCCTGCACAACTCAGCAGCTCTCAACCATTTATCTTGCATAAGTTCCCAGTTTTCTTGACAACTTTTTCAAAATCTCATCTTCACATTGACAAACAAGTTCACAAGTGAAAATTTAAAACGAAACAAATTTCAAACAATGTACAAAATAAATAGATAATAAGTCATAGTAAGAGACATAAACAAGAGTATTTATGCATAAACAAAAACCACTTAAAAAAGCTAAAATTTGCACCTGTAAAGAGTTTGAATGCAGATGGTACACTCCTCTTCTGTGTAACCCAAAATACATCAGCTTTCTTTGTCATATACAACCCTGGATCTACAATTATCGGTTTCGCCCTCTGGAACCTACCACACGCACAATCAGACTACACAAGTGAGGTCCAAAATTAAAATCAAAACCAACAAAAACACAAAACAAAGTGAATCAAAACTCACTCTTTCCACCCAATATTACTAGTATGATCAATGAAATTCAGATCCCTCGGCAAATAGGAAAACGTATGCAGGAGATCTAACAAGCACAAACCCACGGAAACAAACCAAAATTAATCAAAAACAGATCGAAACTCAGATTAAAAAACCACAATTTAACAACAAAAAACACCTCACTTCACTAATCACAGTTAGATCAATCCCACCGAACTTAATCAAAACTAAACCAAACCCAGATTCACAAACATCATTAATCTCAAAAAAAGAAAAACAAAATTCACTAACCATCTTGAGTCACAAGTGGATAATCAGACGCACTAAGATTAATAAACCAATCCCATTCTCCACCTTCCCTCAACAAAATAGCAGCCCCATGTAACGTATTGGCTACCATTGTCGGGCCTCTATAAGTCACGAGATTGGCCTTAGCAATCACCTTAACATTCCCAAATTGCACAAATAAAGGGTGCTCATTGACAAAGTTCTTTAGATCTAAACGCTCGGCATCAGACGACGCCCTATCCAAATGAAGAACATAAACATTATTTGGATGATACAGCGCCAAAAGAGTGCGTTTTATCATGTTACCGTCGCCCACAGATCCAGAGATCATGTAAGCGAAACGCGGAGGCGGAGGGAGGTTTAAAATGGGAATAGTCTGAAGTTTAGATTCAACAAAAACTGAAGACCCAGAAAACGAAATTGAACGATAAAAAGGCAGAAACGGAGTGCCGTCTGGTGAAGTTAAAGTGGTGAGAAAGAGGAGGAACAAAGAGACTATTGAGCCGATTGCCAGAGGGAAAATCCATTTTCTTTCGACTGTCGTTTGGTGAGTATTGTTGTGTCGTATTTGCATGTAATAAGTCTTTAGTTTCTTCATTTTGTTTCAGCTCAGAGTCAGCTTGAAATGGTTCGTTTTGAGGGGTTTTTGAAGGTGAAGAAGAAGAAGAAGAAGAAGGGAGAAGACAAAGAGACTCACGCCGTGAATGACTCGGAAAATCATATGAACACTTGGAAAACAATTTTGTTTTTCTGAGGGGGGGTATTTGCAAGAAAATGAAACTTTCTGTTTTTTGAGAATGTTGAAAATGTTTTTCTGAAAACAGGTGAATTTGTTTTTCTTTTTCTTATAATAATTATTATTATTCAAAATAAGTTTAATTAAATAATTAATTGTCTGTTAAAATAATAAATATTGTACGTAGTTGAAATAATAATATTTCTATTTAAATTAGTTGAAATTGATTTTTAAAAAATTGAGAAAATTATGTGTAATGGGTTTCTAAAGAAACATGTTTTTTCTGTAAATGGTATTTTTTTTACTAAAAAATATATTTAAAATGTTTTTGGAAAATAGATTTTATATATAAAATTTTAAATCAAAGTAGTTGCCAAATATAATCCAAAGTTTGTATATATCATTACGTTCTTGTATGATAAATTTATTTTAGCATATAATTTTAGATATTATTTATAAAATTAATCTTATTGTAAAAGCTATTAAATATTATAAAGTTTTGAGGTACGTCATTAAGAGAATCGAAATAGATTAGTCAACACATGGATTCATTAATTATTTGATTAATTTAGTGTATGATTGGCCATTGAAAGGGTGTTTATTACTAGAATTATATAATTAGGATTTACTTAATTTTCAAGTTCTAAGCATATCTATGGTGATCATATATAATAAATTGATAACCATTGATTAATTAAATTATCAAATTTTTAATTAATTATAATATTATAATATGACAACTTATGGCATATTAAGAAACGGAAGTGTTTTATAATCAAACTTAAATTAATAACAAAAACAAACTTAGAGTCATACTAATTATTTAATTAATTATTTTAATGCAAACAAGATTTATGAATCAAAGTCATATCATATTAATATTTACTTTGACTCTTTTGTTACATTTAATGTTAAAATTAACCTATTCAAAAACTCATTTTCACTCTATGTAATATAATATTATATATATATTTGTATCTATTTTTAAGGATGAATCAAAGATCAACGAACGACAAAAATTTGGATCTAGAGTGTTTTGATTTCAGGGTATGGTTTGGATCTAGGGTATAAATTATATTATATTTTTTAGTACGAATAAAAAAACTTCATTTTCAATCTATGTTATTAGTTGTGACTTATTAGAATACAATATTGGATCTGGGGTGTTTTGATTTTGGGGTATGAAATTTGGATCTGGATTTGATGTAGTTTAGGAGGGGGGATGGAGTTTGGATCTAGTGGAGGTTGAGGTATCGGAAACGCACCCGACGGAATGTATTTCGGTCAAATAAGATTAGGATTTTGAATGATCATTTACTCTTTAACCGTTACATTAAACAACTTTTTATTATTTAAGAGTGAAATTTGGAATATACGAAACAAGAATAGAACTTACCACTTCATAACTTGTGTGGGAACATGTCGGTTACTTTTATGTAATATATATAAATTATTTTTATATATCACAAATAGAATAAAAAAATCAATGAACGGTGTTTTTTGTTATGGATATGCTGCTTTGTATAGCAATTAGCTATAGTCCTTGTAATTACTTGATTCTTATACCTAACTTAGGGTTTATCGTACGGCAGATTGACCAGGTTTTTTAAGGTCTCTTTTTTTTAGTTTTCTTTTTCTTTTTTAATAAATATTTACTTAAAAAAAAAAAATCAATGAATGACTATCAAAGGTAAGTGATTAATCGTTGACTTATTAAAAAATAGAAATCAAAACCAATTACTGATCGTATAGGAAACGTTTTACTAAATGATTTAATTATTAATAATTATATTTTATTTTTCTACTAAGAAATTAATAAAAGGTAGTAGCGTCTAGAATTCTGGTTGGGGTGGTGCGTCCTTTTACTAAAATTCAATTCCCAAAATCAATTCCACAAAAGGGGATCAATTAATAACTATGGAATTCACACTTTAATGTACCTAACAACTACATAAATAATGACATCATGAATATTAAAAGTATATGTAAATATATCACCAATCAAACTGACCAAATTACCCCTAAAAGAAATAATCCTAGCCATCCATTTTAGATTGAATTCTAAGTAAAGTGGTACCCACCTAAATGATTTTGATCTCAAGATGTATTCAAAATATAATTAAGACTTAATTGAATTAGATTATTAAAATCCAGGGCTGTCATTAGTGTTAATTAAATTAGATTATTTAAGAGACAAAGGGTGGAAAATGTTCAGATAAAAAATGGTTATTGGGTACTTTATGTAGATTTTCTAAAGCATGTGGAAATAATTTATTTGATTTTAATGCATTTAAATGAAGAAATTTATTAATATGATTTCTTATAATCGACCCATCATGAGTAGCTTAGCGATAAGAGCAAATCAAGGGGACTGCAAATAGGTAGAACTTGCAATCCAGTGTTTGATTCCTCGTTTGACATAAAGTTAATACCTGTTGCTGCTAATAGTTTGAGGTGTACGGAAGTTGGTCGAGACCCTCAGTTTTTCTAGAAAAAATATATATGAGTTCTTATAAGTAATAATTATTATATGACTATGAGAGTGAAATAACTTTGGAATTGGAATTTCCACAAAGAGAACTAAGTCAATTTTGGTAGCATTACATAGACTTCGCTCTTTCTTTAAGTCAATATATATTTTTGAAAATCTAAAGTCCATAGAATATTCAGCCTTATTTATTCCAAACAATTGAAATATTTGAAAGAGATTAAAATTGACATTTAGTTCAAATATTTGGTAAATATAATCGTCCCCCAGATGGGAAAGCGTTGAAAATAGCATTAAATTGAACCTCACGGCTATTTATTTGTATAAGAAAAACCTTCACAAAGTAATTTTATGAAACTGTTCTACATAGATATTTACAGGTGGGAAAGTGTTGAACATAGTATTAAATTAAACTTCATGAATATTCAGTAGTGACGGATCCAGAAATTCTTGTTAGGGTGGGCCAAAATAAAAAATAATAGCATATAATATTCATATTCTATGTTTTTAGATGAAATTGTCACAAAAAAAAAAAAAAAAAAAAAATTACGTATAATTTTTTTTTTTTAAAATTCATGGCCCACCCTCAACATACTCTAGATCCGCCCCTACGAATATTTACCCATATAAGAAAAACCATCACGAAGTAAGTTTGTGAGACTATTCTATATAAATGTTTATTGTATGTAGTAATTTGGTGACATTTCCCTTTGTGGCCGGATGACAAGCCCTTTAATAATTGAGATTAATTATACTCAAGGGTCTTGTTTTCAAGTTTGAGAAAAGATATCTGTCGTATTTGTTTAATTATTTTGATTAATTAGATTTATAGAATGTTTCATAGTCCTGAAGATTAGGCGAACTCGGCCAGCAATTCTATCTAGATACCTCAGTTATTAATATATATATATAAATAAAAAATAAATAAAAAATCTGGTGGCCTAACAGAGTTTAGAACTAGTGAAATTTATATGCAAATACCAATTTTATATGTAAATACCAACTAGGCCTAATTAGCCAACTGCTACTAGTATTATTATGTGGTATACCTATTTTTATGTGTTAAATGTAATTGGACCGCATTTCAAAAAGCAGAAAAAAAAATTTGATCAAACTGGTGGTTATAGCAGTGGCAGCTACCACAGAGACCAACCCTATTTTATATATAACCCATATTTTATAATGTCAGCGAATGAATTTGGAATTTGAAACTCAAACACAAATCCGTATAGATTGGGGAATGAAACGGATAATATCGCCATATTTTGCGTGACATCCAGGCAGACGCATTCTGGTAATGGGTTATATTATGAAGCCTGAATTTGGTGATGTTAGGACATGAATATTGGAAAACCAAATCTAAAAGTAAGGTATCATGCATAAAAGCTGTATGCAGATAAAGGAAAATTCATGACTTTACACTCCATACTCAAATGGTTCCAATGACTTGGCTTTTACAAAAGCAAATAGACTTAAATCAATCTCCATAAATGTGGGTTTAATTACCTTCTTTTATCTGCAAATGGTTGCATATTTCAAGCTTCAACCAACAGGTTAAATGACCAACTTTTTAAGAGAAAGTTGATACCTTACTAGTGTTCTTTCTTGTTATGCTTAGCAAATAATCACAAATGATATCAGTAAATAACAAAAGAAGGAATGTGATTTATACAAATGAGATTACCGTTTAGAGAAAAATTTCTACTTGTGCAAAAACAAGTTAACGTTCTTAATGTTAAGACCATTGAAAGATTAAGATTAGATCTGAAAGACGACGTTTCTCATAGTCGATGAATCTTCAATATGATAACAACTCATTTGGGGAGCCATTTTAATTTCTAGGATAAGAGAAAGATAATTGTGGGAAGCACAGAAGAAATATGGTCCACATACAGACTCAAGAACCTCTTACCTGTAATTTCATTCACTACTCCATAGTTTTGCTTGAGAAAATGAATTGCCTTCCTGCAATTGTATCAGGAAGCAACACTGAAAGTCTTGTGCCATTGCTTTTTCCTTAATTGCATGATAATATATCTTGATTCAGTCTGCAAGACAGATGAATTACACAAGTGATTGTATTAAGAGAATTGAAATGAAAAAATGTACATATTAGTTAGCAAAAGCTGCACCACAAAACGAAATTTACAGATGTGGGGAAAAATTATAGGATACAGGAGGATTAGATTTTCTTGAAGGTCATGACTTTGAAGTTCCTCTTTCTTTCATCCTATTCATAATTTGTGATGCCTCGTCTAGTCTATTTGCTCGTTCGTATATGGCAGCAACGACAAGATGCAACTCCTTTTTGTTGATGTTGGAATCAGAGTCCAGCTTCTCAAAGAGTGACTCCATCATGTTAAAGTCCTTTCTTGCACCATACAGACCGAGCATCTGGAAATGAACTTCATCAGAAAAAACACAACCTTCTTCTTGCATCTCTTGATACAGAGCATCCGCCATCTCAAATTCCCGGAGTTTTCCATAAGCATTCAGCACAAGAGCAATCACATTAGAATTGGGGAAATATCCTGCACTTCTCATCTTTTGAAACACTTCAATGACATTTGCATGTTTCTTGTTCCTTGAGAAAAGCTCAATCATGGACCCATATACTGATATATCCTTTACTTCCCCAGCCTCAAAAGCCTGTCTAAAAATCCATGTAGCCTCCTCAATCCGACCAGCCTTAGCAAGAATTGATATTGCAGTCTCCCTAGGGATGTTATCTGGTTGCTTGAGCTCATGAAGCAAACGCTTTGCATGAGCAACCAAACCTACCCTTTCATAAGCAACAATCATTGTTTGATAAAGCACTTGATCAATCTCAATCCCAGAGCTCCTCAACTTCTGAAACAAGATTGCTGCCCTATCTAATTTCCCTGCCTTACCCCATATAGATATTATTGTTGAGTAAGTGATGGCATTCGGTTCAATCCCACTATTCTGCATCTCTTTCAAAAGATTAGTAGCCTTTTCATGCTCAAGAGACTTCCCATAAATCTTCATCATTGTGTTATATGTGACAACATTCTGCTCAATTTCCTTCCTTTGCATCAACCTAAACAAATGAATAGCCTCACCAAAAAGCTCAGCCTCACCATAAACCCTCAAAAGGGTATTGTAACTAACAACATTAGGTTCAATCCCCATCTTCCTCATGCTCCAAAACAACCTGTCCGCTTCCTTAGCCATATCCAACTGCCCATAAACATCAATCATAATATTACAACTCGTAAGATCAAGCGGGCAATCCACTTCCTTCATCTCAGCAAACAATGAAAGTGCCTCAACAAATTTCTCATTCTCAACATAAACATTCAAAAGTGTCGAATAACTAACAGTATCCGGCACAACTCCCACTTCCCTCATCTCCTTAATCACCAACCTCGCCTCTCTAAACAACTTCGCCTTCCCAAACACATTGATCATCGTATTATACGCAACAAGATCAGGCACAATCCCTGCATTCTTCAACCTCGAAAACATCGAAATCGCCTTCGAATAATCACACAACTTCCTTGCAAGCTCAATCAAGTTACTATACAAAACAAGATCACCTGAAACCCGGTCTTGTTCCATCAATTGCAACCAAGAAATCGCTGAATCAAACATACCCTCTTTCCCAAAACACGTTATTAGTGTCGAATACGTGTACCTATCAGGCGACACACCTCTGTCACGCATTTCGTCGAACAGGCCATGTGCAAGCTCCCATTTTTTAGCCCTCAAGACATTTCTCAAAACGACATTGTAAGCAAACACGGACGGAGAATAACGAGCCACGTCATTGATCCAATCAAGGATGGCGACTGATCTCTGGTAGTCTTGTTCGCGAGATAACAACGAGACCATGAAACGAATTGAGAGTTGTCTGTCTTTATACGGGGATAATAAAGCGAATAGTTCTTGTTCGTTCTGGGTTTGGCTTATTGATTGTACGAGTTCGTCCATGTCCAAGCTGTGGTCTAAGAAGAGTGGGTTTTGCTTCTTGGGGTGTTTGTGAAACTGCGTCGATTTGAGGGGAGTTTTTCTCCATACATCTTTGGTTTTTGGAGCTGAAGAAGGAGAAGAAGCTGACGATGTAACCAAGAGTGAGAAATGGGTTCTGGGTTTTGTGGTGGCAGTGTGAAAATGGGGTTTGGTGAGGGATAATAATGGCAGAGAAAATAGAGAAGATGAAGAAGAAGATGGGAGTGAGTCTAGTACGTGCATGGAAGTAGCAGACAAAGAGACCGTACACATATTTTCTATAGTTCTTACAAACGAGTCTCTTGAGTAAGGTCTTACATAGTGTCATGTCCTGGAGGGAAAATACTAGCGAGATTTTTCCTGCAAACGTTTGCATTTTTATTATGTTAGATGGTATTGATAAACATTAAATTCAATTAATTTGGATTCAATAATTTTTTGTTGACCAAAGCATCCGAGTTAATTTATTTGCATATCGTTGTCACGGCTTTTCTCTTTAATTCACGGATATGCTTATATGAGAAATTAGATGTGAGACCGTACGTTTATTTATACTATCTCTAATTTGCTTTAGCCATCTGAACTATCACAAACTATGGAAAATAAACTTTTTAACTTATTATTATCCAACTTTAAAATCCTAATAGGCCTTATCCTCCACACCAATCACAGAATCAGTGTAGAGTAGATGTATACGTATTAGTATGACTAGAGCAATAATTTACAAGAAACTTGTTTTAAGTATACAAATAAGGTAACATGAACTTCGCATCTAAGTCTTTTCTTTTTTGGGTTGAAGGCCTACAGTCGAATTTTGTTTTGCTTAATTCAATACTTATTCAATCAAATAAAGGAAGATTAATTTTTTTATGCACTAGATTAATCAACACTTTAATTGATAGAGCTTTAGCGAACAAATTAAATCCGATTATTGTACATTTCAAGAAAAACTTATAAGAAAACCAACAATGAAGAGGAGAGAAACAATATCAGAAGCAGCTCCATTAGTGTTGTGGTCAGCCATATTCTTGCAGCAGCTGAATGAGAAGGAGAATTAGGAGAAGGAGCAGATCCTGGAGGAGTGAAAGCTGCGGTCACATTCTCCTTAGAGCAAGTGTAGTTGCAGCGGCTTGGCCGAACAACTCGAAAAACACCATTACTGCCTAAAAGAAAGATATCCCTTCTGTTATCTTGCCCAAAAGAGGTTATATAACCCAGTGAAGGGAAAGAGCTTCCAGCTTCAGAATTGCATTGCAATGGAGAATCAACAGCACAACTTACAGGAATCTTATCACTAGTGAAGTTTCCACTGTTTTCAGGTTTTTCTATGCCTGCCCATATGGCACTAGCATACAAATCTGTGTAAAGATACCTGAGACCAAAATTTTCCAGGTCCAGATTTAAAGTCCGAATCTATAATACAGACTGTACTAAAACAGAGAGGTGTGCATTATCTAATGATGTGAGTGTTCGTATCAGAGAAAGAGTATATAAACGTTAATAAATTCATGGTTGATTGAAATGGATAGGATGAAGTTGAACTCACCTTCCATACAAGCAAGGATCGGTCGTGGAGCGATAGAAATAGCCGCCAGTGATGGATGCAGAGCCTACTGAGTTGTTTACTTGAGAGTGGTTGTATCCCATTACTGGAAAGATGGGGTTTATGGAGCTGGCTGATGTATTGCCTCCTGGAGATCTTGGGGGATTGTACAAAAAGAGTCCTTCATAAACTCTCCATCCATAGTTTCCACCCTTTGTCACTATATCCACTTCTTCATATTCATCCTATCATAATTTGATGCTGATACCATGTTAAGGTACGGTTTGATTGTCTCAAAAAATTTAGAATATCAAACACATTCAGTAATGTTTCAAAGGGAAAGAAAGCTTAGGACACATGCTTACCTGACCAACATCTGCACAAAGAAAGTAGGAAGGCCTTTTAGCATCAAAACTACATCTCCAAGGATTTCTGAATCCTAATGCCCAAATTTCAGGCTGCAATTCTTTATCTTCAGCAAATGGATTATCTACAGGGACAGAGTAATTTCCCCATAGACCAAGGTCACTAACCTGTTTTGCACCTACAAAGATCCAAAATTGAGAAAAATTGCTCAACTCAATTTCATTACTAATTGAAAAACTGACACATTATAGGATCAAAATACATGACATTCCAGTATCAGTACTTGGTATGTTATCAACGTCTAGTCTCATTATCTTTCCAAGCAATGACTTCTTGTTTTGTGAAAAATTGTACGGATCACCTATTCCTCCCCCATCTCCCATCATGAAGTATAAATACCCATCTTCAGGACCAAAGAGAATTTGACCACCATGATGAGATGTAAAGGGCAGGCCCATTGTGAAGATTCTTCTGACTTCCTGTGGCTTCACACTTGTAACCTGATGAAATTCGTGTCAAAATAGACTTGATTAGCATTGCTGTACAATTAAAATGGCAAGTAATTGTTGCAAACTATATAGTGTTTTTTACCGTCGAAGGTTCTGATGTGGTACCATTAGCTGTGAACTCTGCTATGACACTGTGATATTGGCATGGCAATGCTCCATTATCAGGTTCTAGTTTTGAAGGATCACACCCCACATCAGTGTTACATGAACATCTTCCAGAACATTCAGGCCATTTAACTTTATCACAGTTAAAAGAGGCGAAGAAGCGCCCGTTGCTCTGGAATTTAGGATGGAAGGCTATTCCCATCATGCCAAGCTCAATATCAGAATGCACTTCATCAGTAAAATCTAGAAATGGATTTGATTCATCAAGTATCAGTGTTTTTCCTGAGTCCTGCTCTGGAACATTTGCCAGCCATATTTTACCTTCCTGGCTTGAAAAAATAACTCGGTTTGAACCATCAGGATGAGCCACCATATTAATGTATGCACCAGAACCAATTTTCTCCAGGCAAACTCCATTAGGGGGACTCAAAGTTCCAGAGTTGTTTAGTGAAACCGGTCCACCATTAAAACATACAAGTTCATCTTCAGAGGCTCCACCAAATTCATTGCAGAAATCACTTTTCGACTGCCATAAATCAGTAAGCTTGGAAGTAGAATTAGCTAGTGTTCCACCTCTGCCTTGTGGAGCAAAAGGAGAACCTGATATAGACGCATTTTGGCATTCATCCCAAACCTTTGAACAAAAATCATTTGCAGCATTTTGGGACTGGGTTGAGTTCGGCGAAATAGTTGAATTGCAAAGAATTGGGACAGCCCTTGGTGCTGATTCAACTCTATAAAGCTCTGAGGAAAACTGATCACATCTCTGCCAAGAACATTAATTCTGAAAGTATGTAACATAGTTCAAAACTGTCATTAAATTCAACAGATTTTCTTAGATGGGAACCTAAAATCCGGACTCGAAACACATATATTAACTAACAGAAGAAAAGCTTACTGCGCAAAGTATTGATTTGATAAGAGAAGCACAACCAAGCTCAGAGACATTCATAGCTTTGAAACTGTTTTTCAATTGTTGATCTTCTGTAGAGTTGCAACAAGCACTTCCATTGTATTGACAGAAAGTAAGAGGGGTCTTTGGCGAAAAAGGAGCTCCTAAACAAGCACAAAATCAAACTGTTTGATTGCCAGAAAATGAAGAAAAACCAGAAGCAACAATCAAACCTTGGAAATTAAAAATACTTACTTGAATTAGTACACAAAGGATATGAAGAAGAATGATCAACAAGCAACAGGAAGTAAAAAAAGATGAATATGATAGTAAGAACAAAATCCATCTCTTTGAAATGGACAGAGCAATGGAAGATACACTGCCTTTTGAGCTCATCCAATGGAGAGTTTGAATAAAAAAACTCCTCCATTTTAGTTGTTTTCCAATACAACCCAGTTGACAAATAACAAATCAAAACAGAATAAAACAATAGTTATTCATATCAGAATCCTGTACTGGCCACCCCAAGTGCTGCTTCAACTCTTTTGTTCCTTGTATTTAATTCAAACAATTATTATTAACAGTGATTGAAACTATTTTAAACAAGTCCATGGATACAAGAGATTTTCCAAATAAAAAAAATCAAATATTATATTTGAGTTGATGCAGGATGGTCAAGTTTGACTTTACTACTTGAAGAATGAAACTCATCTAAGTTAATGAGATTACAAAAGAGATGGAAGAGAGTTCCAACATTAATTAAAGGGTTCTCTTCTTTTTCCTTAGGATCCTTTAGAGATTGAAATTTCTTGGATTTTGAGAATTTGTACATTACCAATTTCCCAGAGAGAGAGAGGCATGAGAGAAGGAAACAGCTTGATTTTCATATTTTAATACATCAATATAAGTCCATTGAACATATAATATGCTAGGAAGGCATAGACATGGACAAAGACATAGATTTAAGAGAATATTTGATCTGGTTTATCATTAATTTAATTGATATTTATCTTCCCAAATAATTTTAAATTCTACTATATGATGTAAAACACAATCATGGTGAGATAATCTTAATCCTAATCTTTTAAGATCATAATAAAACCATATCAAATGAATGTCTAAATTCTTCATAGACAATATGGGAGGGCTCATATTTGATGACTGTATTGCAAGAGAAGACTGTGAGAGCATAAGTGAACAAACACAAGATGTAGAATTATAGAGAGGCTGTGTATCTCTTCCATTATATGCAGACACTAAACTTAACCCCACCAGCCTTTTGCCCTATCATTGGGTGGGTAATTGGGAAGAGAGAAAACCTACCGGCACCCATGCCCATCATTTTCTTAGAAATTTCAAACACAATCTTTAAATTATAGGAGTGTTTGTCTGAGCTTATGAAAATTAGTTTATAAGCAACAAGTGCTTATAAGTTAATTTTAGCTTATAAGCATTTAAAATTTTAAGCAATTACGTGTTTAGTTAAAGTACTTATAAGTGACTGATAAGTAATTGACGTGTTTGGTAAAATGTGGCTTATAAGTACATTTTATTATAAAATGACTAAAAAAGGTATTATATTAAATAAGGGTATACTATGGAATTTTAAAATTAAACAAGGATAATGTGGTAATATACTTGGTCAAACTAGCTTATAAGCAGAGTGCTTATAAGAAAAAAAAAAAAAAAGTATCTCTCCCCCAACTTATTTTTTTTTGGCTTATAAGCTCAAAAAAATTATAAACAAACAGGTCAGCTTAATTTTAGAGCTTATAAGCTAGTTTGACCAACTTATAAGCTTAGACAAACACCCCTATACTCCCTCCGTTTCAGATTAATAGTCGTTTTAAACTTACTATTTTTTTTCTAAAATAAAAGACCTTTAACCAAAAACTTAACCCTCTCTTTCTTTCTCGACGAATGGCCCATGTCTCCTCTCTTCCACTCTTAGATATCCACCTGCACTTTCAAAGGGAGGAGTTAGTAAGAGATTAAGTAGGGGAGAGAAAATTACTTTATTAAAAATTGTATAAAAAAACACTATTATAATGAAACAGAGAGAGTAAGTCATTATAATGTAGATAGAAAAACAATAACCATCTTAAACCAAAACTCAAACCAGCTAACAACTTGAACATTTGACGCCTCCATCCCCAACCCTGTCCTCAAGCTCGAAGGGTCTGTTAGGGATTCCTTACAAGGCATGAGCTCTATCTCTTGTTCGACTGAAAAAGTGTTTCTCGAATATCAACCGCACTACATTAATAAGATTCTTTGATTTTCTCTTAGAGCACGAATGCTTATCGAGCATCTCTTTATACAGTGTAGAGTAAGATCGTCATAAACCACAACTTGGATTATAGGCACAAGTTAATAGTAGAGAGTAAAATTTCCATATGCCATGAATTGGATTATAGGCACATGATTATTTATAGTGTAGAATAAGTCACCCTAGGCCAGGAATTGGATGATGGGCACATGTCCATTTTGAGTTTGGGGTTGCTTTAGCTAGCAACTAAAATCAAAGAATCTTATTTAAGAGTGATTATACCTAAAATCCGGAATATCGATGTGGAGGCTATCGATTGTCGATTTATGGCACAGCTAACCGAGAAAAGTTTGGCCACTTCATATATACACATTATTATACATGATTTACACTTCTCTTAGTGTTGACGGATTATTGACTTACGTCGACTCATTCGAAGGTCTCACTCCTCGGTAAGTAGATGACGGTCCTGCTCCCTAGTGAGTGGGCAACACTCCCTTCATGATAAGTCAATTAGTAATTGGGTTTATATTTAATTTGCTAATATTGGCCTAGGTCGGATTAGATCAAGTAAGCCTAAATGGGGTTAGATTTTCTATTATATGCAATTTGTAATTGTGAAAAAACCTTGAGAGTGAAATAATAGAGAGTAAGAGTGAACTGTTGTCATTAGGGCATCTCTAATAGTGCTCTTTATTTTGAAAAGCATCTTTCATATAAATAAAGAGCATTTTCATTAATTTTAGAATATAAAAAACACAATTTTTATTCAAATCCAATAGACTTTTTAAATTTAATAAAAATGCTCTTTATTTTTAAGAAAAAGACTTAATGGGAGAGAGAATTAATAAATAAAATGCATTAGAACTTGTAGTTTATTAATTAAAATTAGGATATAGAATGAAATTTGACTCTCTAAATGTGGAGAGTCAAACTCACTCTCTAATTTATATTTTAAAGATAAAGAGTCTGTTAGACTCTTGTTTTTATGGATAAACTCTTTATAATCAAGAGTTTGAGTCATATAAAGAATCATTTGAGTATGCTCTTATACTTTATAATTACTATAACTTTCTGATACTCAATAAAAATTCTCTATTTGAATATCAGACGTAGTTCATTTATCAGAACAAACTATAATAAATCATGTATTCTCTTTACTTTTCTGTTTTCTTTATTGTGTGTTTTTGGCAATGGTTTTAAGAGCATTTCTAATGATGCTCTTTATTTTGAAAAGCATCTTTCATATAAATAAAGAGTATCTTCATTAATTTTAAAATATAAAGAATACAATTTTTATTCAAATCCAATAGATTTTTTAAATTTAATAAAAATGCTCTTTATTTTTAAGAAAGAGACTTAATGGGAGAGATAATTAATAAATAAAATGCATAGGAACTTGTAGTTTATTAGGATAGAGAATGAAATTTGACTTTCTAAATGTGGAGAGTCAAACTCATTCTCTAATTTATATTTTAAAGGTAAAAAGTCTGTTGAACTCTTATTTTTATAGATAAACTCTTTATAATAAAGAGTTTGAGTCATATAAAGAGTCTTTTGGAGATGCTCTAACACATACACAAATTTATTTCATCAAAGAGTCTTCCATCCACCCCGAGGGGGTGCTTAAATCATTATACAATACCCCTTTAATTGGTTTCGAAATCATTATGGTATAACCTTTTCAAGAAAATTTATGATGAACTTCAGTTCTATTTCATTAAACTACATAAGATGTGATCACTAAAAACCTTTCTCAATTTCAAGAATTACTCTCCAAATTTGGTAGTAAAGCTTTCTATAAAGGTTGTAGTTAAATCAGAAAAAATCATAAAGAATAAATGAATCATCCGTGTAGGTGTATGTAAACATATAAAAACACTACTCATCCGCGAAATACAGAATGGCAAAACCAAAAAATAAAAAATAATAATAATAATTCTTTTCTCACAATGTATGAATTTTTTCCTTTAGCCATTAGACTAACTCAACACTCTTCAGCTTCTTCTTAGCGCCCACTGCAAAGAGAAACAATATCAATTAATTAACAACATAATTTCTAGCAAAATTGACATTAATTAAATGTTTAATTTAATTATGTGATAAATCTGTACCTTGAACCTTCTTTGGATGGATTAATATTAATAAACCGCTCGTTGTGATCAAAACCAGTAATATCAAAGGTTGGTAAATTATGATCATAATCCTGAGGAACTTGTAATTCCGGAACTGTAATCTGAAAATCTTCAGGATCATCATAAAAAGGGTCTTCTTCAATCTTCAAATCATTTTGGTTCATCAAATTCTCACTGGTTTCTGCATACAAATCATTATATTGCCCTAAATTAACAACATTATGAATCGAAACTGTGCTTATTTCAGAAGGTGATGATGAGGAAGATACTTGATACTGGTTACACTCTTTGCATCTCGCCACCGTCGCCTTCACCAATCGAACCTCATCCATGGCGGATTGTATATGATGCTGAAGTTTGCATATAATCCCCCAACATCCATGAACCGGATACTTTGCGCGAATGGTAGACTCGAAAATGATGGTTCTCATAGCTTCATCCTTCTTAGCACTATCAACTTTCTTCAAGATTCTCCCGATATTCTTCAGCCCGAAAAGGCGGTGAGCATTCAGAAACATCTTCGGTTGATCGGCCGGGAAGTAGCGAGCAAGAGGGCAGTCCGGGACACATTTTCTCCTTTGATATTTACATGCAGCACAAGCTTGCTTTGTGCCTCCTTTTATGGTCATTTTGATGACTAAAAAATGGCATAATAGATATAACGTTAAAAGGAGTGAGAAAAAATCATTGGAGGAAGATGAAACTGTCTTCATTAACGTAAATATTTTTCGAGTTTGATGCATGGCAGATGAAAATAATTCTAATCTTTCGAATCTCAAGGATGATTTTGTTTTCAAGTTTTGAAGAATATAAATAATTGATTTTAAGTTTTGATTTAGATGAGTGAGGTTATGATAATTGTATCGTGTATGAGGAATATATCTATAAATCTATTATCAAAAATGTTTTTCAAAAACGTTTTCTTTATTTTAAGTCCATTGCCATTTCTTTTGTTACTGAAAGGACCTATGTGGGTCGATTCTTAACTTAGTTTACAGAAATCAATATGTCTGTGAAATTAATGGTGCAAGTTTGATTTGATTTTGAAGTCTTGTGTTTGTGTGAAACGAAATTTTTATCTTACGCGAGATAATAATGAACTTAGTTAAATTTTTTAAGTACAAAATTAATTTTAATCAAAATTAGGAGCTATCTAGTTATCCAACATTTAGTATTCATAATTTGAAATAAATATTAGATAATTTGTTCAAAATTATCTCTCAAGCTGCACTCTTAGTAGATGGTATGTAGATATAGCTTGTTTTCTTAAAAAAGGAGTAAACTTTTTGTGCAATAGATGCATCTATAACCAGATCAGTGACTAAAAACCCGGCCCAGCCCGGCTGGTTGGACCGGACCCCAAGGCCTTCACCTGGTTGAGTTACAAATTTTTCTATTCATTTAAAACAAAACCTTAGAAATTAAGACATCTATCCTTGAACAATTGAAAGATGGAATGTCAGGGTTTTTGAAGAGGAATGGTCAGTGAGTAGAATGGTGGCAACAAATGTGATTTTCGGTAAGTGAATTGACCGAAAATCAAAAAAATATGTCACTAGAAAAAGCCCGCTGTTGCCAGCAATTGGGGAGGCTAACGAGGGAGGGATGAGATGGGTTTTGGTCAAGAGACTGAGGGGAGTGTTTTTGTGATGATGGGGGAGTATTGTTGTCGTCAGAAGAATACCGTATTTATTGACATTGACGGTGGTGTTTGGGGTGTTTTTTGCAAGATTTAAAACTTATAGGGATTTATAAATTTTTAGTGATATTTTTGTTGGATTTCAAATCTTTAGACACTGATTTGATAGGCATGTCAAACCGGTTAAACCGCTCGACTCAGGACCCAATGGCCTGGCCAATTCACTGCGTGGGTCGGATTTTAGAACATTGAACTAGATAATGAAAGGGCGTGTGTCAAATACGTGCGCTGACATGACACATTCTCATTAGGTGATTATAGGTGCATACATTTTACCGAAGAGTTATTCCTTAAAATAAAAGTTATAGTCTATTACTTACTTATGAAGTTAATGTTGGGTTACATGTTAATTATTTTATCCATATATACATATATGGACATTGATTTGGTGGCGAAAAATATTCCTATATTGAAGCTCTCCCCAAATTGTTTTATGAGGAATTTGTTGATAATAATTTTAATTAATTTACTGTTATTTTGAGTAATAGCAATTGTCTGTGGTAATAACACAATGTAGTTGAGCTCCAGAAAATTTAAAAAAAAAAAAAAAAACTGTGGAAAAATACTGCAATATCTTCTTGAATATTGAGTGTTGTGCATTGAGAACTCAATACGACATATTTTAATGCATTTCTTTTATATGTATAATCCAGTACAGGTACAATTTATTGGCCATTTTCCCTTCTTTCACTTGAAGATACATTGTTTATCCACATCTAAAAGTAATTAAAGAAATAATTAGTAGAGAAGGAGACCTCGATTGTTTCATTTTAAACGTGTTATTTATCATTAATTGGAGATTAATTATTAACCTTATTTAAAACGTGTTATTTATCCTTTATTAGAGATTAATTATTAACCTTATTTAAAATCAAAGATATAGGAAATTACTAACGAAATTAGCTCATTTAAGTTCCTCACTGGATCATTTGTTTTCAAAATAATTTCAGTATGCTCCAAAAATCACATCTCAAAATATGTGTTACCATATGTGATGCCAAAGCAATAAAAGAGATTACCAACATAGGTAACCACCGAATGGTAATTACCTTTAGGGTTCTGGATAATTCATTCAAAAAAATGAAAAGGAAATGAAAATTAAACAAAAATTACAATACGTCTAAAAACTTTCAAAAACACCCTGAAAATAAAAAAAATGTCCAAAAACCCCCTCAAAACAATTCTAAGAGGCTAAAAAATGATGATATTATTCATCCGGTAGGACTGTTAGGGCCAAAAATCATCATTGGCCCAAATAGGAAAACGAGACTGAATGAGGAAGAGACCAGGCCCAATCCCGATGCGGCCCAATCTAGATTAGGCTCATCTGGCACGAGATATTGTCAGCCCAAACCATTCGGGCCCAAGCCTCCCAATCCCAGTCCGCTTCCTGGACCTATGAGCAAGTTCAAAGCCCACGGACATCAATATATCACTTTCCTATTCGAGATCACTTTCCTGTTCGAACACTGGTAAGACAGCTCACCATCGCCTTAATCTCTCTAGGGTCCGTGTCAGAGTCACACGAGAATTCCCTCTCACGCCAAGATAAGGGGATCAAAGGGCGTATCCCTGGAGGAAAGGGATTGCTACGAGAACTCCCAATCCCACCAGGATTGGGAGACCAGACAATCACTATATAAACAGAGGCCAGCCCTCTCACATGGGACATTACACTACACTTTCACACCCGGAGTTCCTACTTGAGAACTTCACATCACCGTCGTAGTCGCAGTCCCTGACTAGACTTCTGGTAACCTCTTTACTCCCTAGCCCTCACTAGATTAGCCTATTTTAGCCTTGCTGACTTGAGCGTTGGAGTGCCTACGGCAAACACCAGCCTGGTGTTTTCGGTTGCTTCACGTTTGTTTCTCTACGTGTGCAGGTGCAGCGGATTGCTAGTGGCCTCAACCTCACAGGATTAAACCCTCATTCCGTACAGGTAGATTTTTATGTCTACAGTTTGGCACCCATCGTGGGGCCTCTAGCAATCATTCAGCTCAACAAACCTTGCTACGTAGAGAAACTTTCCATTGCTAACAATTCTGACAATGCTAACCCCGGCCTCGAGGTCAAACTGGAGGCTTTGACAGCTCTCATGCAACAGAATTTAGATAAGGTGGCCGCACTAGAAGCTGAGAACACTGCCATCCGGACCGAAAACACCTCCATCAGGGCCGAGAATCAGTCTCTGAAAGAAAAGGTAAGCCAGTTTTATGACCTCAAGCTTCTGCCTTCTCAAGTACCACCCAATCGGTTCCGCTTCTCGGTTCCATCCATGCAACCTCTCCAAACCCTAGAGCTCGAACTAGCGGCCTTCAGTAAAAGGCCACGTCCATTAAATTCGTAGGCGGTCGGCGATTCGATCCTGACTCATGGAGAAAAGGATCTGCCAATAGAACCCCACTCAGCTGATCCACAATGGTCTCGAGATTAAGACACCCAAGTGACGGAAAGCCCACACCCGCAAGACCAACCCATTCTTACCATCTAGCCTCACATTCAGTCAACCATCCCTACACAAGCACCATTCGGCACGGCTCGCCCTCACGAGTTGAACGGCCAACCCAACCAAACTACAACACTCAAGCCCACCCATCATGACGGACCGAGTGAATATCAAATAACCCCTCTGACCATTCGGGTAGGGCGAAACACCAGATCGGTTACCATGGGAGTCATCCAACCAGAGGGAATGAACAAAGATCTAGGCTATCAGGGTGTGCACGAAGGAATGATCCACCAAACTACACCGCGCGAGATGACCCAACGGAATATGCCGAGGACGAATGCAATGGCTGACCCAGTCAAACGGGATGACCTAGTGGTGTACCCCTCTCCTATGGAATAGATACTGGCCAAGAGGTCGGCTAATGTAGAGGCAGTGATGAGGCGCATCCTAGGAATGTCGGTCCCGACCAAGAAAGTAGGCCTCACTGCTACACTGACTTGCCATTTGTGGATGAGATCGCCCTAACTGACATGCCCCAGAAGTTTACTATCCCCAGCATGATACCCTACGACAGCACAACTGAACCGGATGACCACAAGCCTCGTACAAGCAGCAGATGTTTACTGTCTCAATACCCTGAGCGATGAGGGAAGCCTGTATGTGTAAAAGCTTTAGTTCAAGCTTATCCGGTCCAGCACTCCAGTGGTACACAAACCTCCCAAACGGTTCCATCGACTCATTCGCTCAGCTCATCGACACCTTTGTGGAGCAGTTCGCCAGTAGCAAGAAACTCAAGAAGTTGTCAGTCGATCTATATAGAGTATACTAGAGGAGGGGAGAGCCACTAAGAGAATATGTCAGCAGATTCAACAAAGAGAAGATCTTCATCCCTTCTTGTAACCCCGAGACAACTGTAGATGCCTTTAGGAAAGGTCTCCTCCCGGATGGAGAACTATACAAAGAATTGACGAAGCTGGGTTGTATCACGATGGAAGACGCTCTGACCTAAACAGTGATCCAGATAAGGTGGGAGGAAGATGAGATAAACCGGGCGACTCATGCCAGATACGACCCAAGGCGGAATGACAGGAAGCCAGAGCACAGATTGGTGGAACACCGCTATCAACCCCCAGTGTGTAACATGAGCAGAGTCAGGAAGCCCTATGATTGCCAACCAACAAGAACCGATAACAGACAGGTCGGACCGAGCTGATACAAGATACTGGAGTATAACCTCAACGTCAAACTGACTTAGGTAGCCGCAATAATGAAAGGAATGAGATCCATCGTTAAGTGGTCAGACAAGCTCAATCCCGAAGCAAGGAAAGACATAACCAAATGGTGCGAGTTTCATGGCGACTATGGGTATAACACTGCAAACTGCATCGCCTTGCGGCTGGAGGTTGCTGCACTTTTGAAGAGGGGACATCTCTGAGATCTACTAACGGATAAAGGGAAGAACACCATTAGCCAGAGAA